TTTTTGATTGCTGACGGGTGTTGTTTAGACGGTTTCATCGGATATTTCGAATCAAGCTTAATTTCTGAAATCAAATTATTACCATTTAGCGCCGAACACAGATCGACATCTTGGTACCCCATTTTTTTTCCGATTAAGCCCATTTTTTTTCTTGGAAAAAACACAGTTTTTGTAACTATCAGTCGAACCATAAAACCTGGTCAAATCGAGTACAGATGGACTGTAGAAACCAAAGCTTCTCTTAAACAATCTCATTTTTTCTCTATACCTTCCAACTACGTTCTAAATTCAACAGTTTTGCTTTCATAAAAATAATATATTTTTCTCGTTTAATTCAGCTTAAATAATGCGAAACCCAATAACAGGTCTAAGGCATGCCGTTCAATATAATATTGAAAAATGTGCCTAAAAAGTCTATTGTAAGGATTGACCTCGACTTGTATAACTTAGGAAACGCGACTGAGATAAAATCAAATAGCAACGATGCGATTGAATATTTCGGTATACTTTCTGTGCCGGTTGGAATTCATTATTTACAACTAAATCCGGACCAAATAAATCGATCTTCGCACATCATAATAGGTCATCACAATAGCAATGTCTATCTTCGTTACGACGTTTGTCAAGAAAACTTTGTTCCAGAATTTGCAAATGAAGAAGACGTATGCATTCGCAAAGGCATCGAAAATCTAACTTTCCTTCAGAACAGTGTTCCTTTCAAAACTTCTCATCACACGCTACTGCATGATACACTGAAACACACGCAATTTTTGCATAAATTGCTCGCGGCCCGATTTAATCTAGGTGCTGTGTCATGTGACGATTTTATAGATTATGTACAGGAAAACGCAAAACCTATTGATCTCAAGCAGACTTCGATTGATAGTATGGACTGTTTGATTAAACTAGCTCAAGCTCATTTTTTTTCTTTCGCGTCTCGAACTCTTGAGCAGGAAGCTTTGCTTGATGTAAGCGCCGAGTTTTGTCTTTTCTATTTGTTGTGTGCACTGTTGTTATTAAATGAACAGGCATTTAATAATTTTGTGACCTTTTTCTCTAATATTTGTAACACCGACACGTCTCAGTTTAAGACCATATCAGCTAAAATAGCACAGGTTCTACTTTTGGTAGCAACATATCTATATAGCGAAGATCATTCTTTTGACGATGAAACGTCTTTACAATCATTAGATGTAAAGGGATTTTTGACTTATATTGAATTAGTTCATGACTGTTATTCGGATAAGAAAATTATAAATATTGCTAATACTATATGTGTAAGTTTAAAAAAATATCAAATTATAGAATTTATTAACTAAAGCGTCGAAAATGCCGATTTTAGAACTTTTAAAGCTTAATTTATTAGATAATTAGTAATTAATTAAAGGGTTATTGTTTTTCAGAACGATTGCGAGGCTTTGGTTTATTATTAGTAGATGACTCGCTGGAAAAGTGGCTATTAGACTCATCATTATCAGATTCATAGCTGTAATCGCTGTTAGTTTCATCGTTTAATTCTGCATTTCTTAATTGTTGTTGATATTGAGCGCACAACTTATTTAGTTCTGCGACGCGTTCATTATAATCTTGAACGATTTTTTGATTTCGGACGCCAACGTAATGGCAGTAAATCATCAACGCCAAGGAGATCCCCATGAGCAAAGTATACAATAAACTACCTAAATCGCTAGCCATAAATTCGAAAAAACGAGGGAATTTTTTCATTAGATAAGGTGTTTTGACTCGTAGCTCATCTTCCATTTCGTAGTTTGACCCATCTAATTTGAACGACTTAACGACTCTGGCAGTCAGCACAAGCAAAAACATCATACGAGAATTCATCATATCTTATTACTTATAATCAAAAATTTTTAGCAAGATAATGTGAATAGTTTTTTAATGAGTAACTGAAAAAATTAGTTGCTGGTAATCTCAGCAAAAAATCTTGGAAAAAGCTTGGCAAATTATTTTTTGACAATTCTTAATATTTATTATTATTTCCAAAACGACAAAACAACAATAATTATTTGTACATCCGTCAAAATATTGTCGCTATCCCACAATGATTTCCACTGCAGCATCCAAAGTTATCACTCTTGATTGTTCCATACCGTCAAAAGATAACATCGTCGATGTAGCTGAATTGACTCAATTTTTTTACAACAAAATTAAGGTTGCAGGAAAAACTGGAAACTTTGAAAAGCGTGACTCCAGTGGAAAGATAACAAAGCTAGTTGTCGTATCTAATGAAGGCGACATTATCAAGATAGAATCTCAAGTTCCTATGAAAAATCGTTACATTAAATACTTGACTAAAATGTACTTCAACAGTGTTTTGCTCAGAGATTACCTCCGTGTTTTGACGAACGGTAAAAACAACTACATTGTACGATACTTTAAAAAAGACCTTGGAGTTGTATCTGCTTAATTCGGCAGTTAAATTCTAAAATTATAACAAAATAATTTCTGTGAAAATTACTAAATCCTTATATCATTCAAAATATACTTCCCAAGTGCATTTTTTTCAAAAATTTTTTGGTAAAATAAAATAATTTAATTGTGAATTATACCCGCACGCTATTGTAACTTGCAAGTAACATTACAGTTTGTGAGATTAATTTTTTTGGAAATTTAAATCTAATAAATTATTTTAGATATTTCGATTTTAATAAAACTTCAGTATTAACAAAAATAGTTTAAGTTCACGCTACTTCATTAATGTCATGAGTCATGATTTGACAATTACTGATTTAGACCGTATTATCTTGGCATCCACCGAGCATGCGGGGCAAAGTCATCAGAAAAGCAGCTTTCGGTCTAAACCGCAAAAAAACGACATGCTTCGCATAATTAAAACGTCTCAGAAAGACCAAAAAAAAGGTTACAGACAAAATTTAGGTCAAAAAAAACAACTTATGACTTCACGCTTCAAATTAAACACTTACGCCAAGCGCCAATTTACCAACACCAATCTCAGCAGCGAAAGTATAGAGCATTCTAGCAGCCCAGTAAATGTAGAACAATTAATCAAACGGAAACTCTCTTTCAACGACGATGAAAAAGAACTTGTTGTTAATTTTTATGATAACCCTATTATTAATATTAATAAATCGACAGGCGTTTTAAAACTGTCGTGCAATAATTTTAAAAACTCTAAAACTTTGTTGGCGTTGAATATGTGTTTACATCCGTTTAGCATGATCGTTCAAGCCGTTCCAAATAACCCAAGCACTTGGCTCGTTTTGGAAAACGGCGCAACGATCGGAACTTTCTTCAATGAAATGGAGATCAATGAAACAACTAAATGGACTAAAAATCGCATGCTTGCGCGAGCATCAGTTTTAAAGCAATATCTAATGCAAAAACTTAAAGAAATTTAATTTATAATACTCATACTTAATGGAAGTGTCTGTTTTTAGGTTACTAACTGTTGAGAATTTTTAATTTTTAGAAACATGTTTTATAAAATAAACAATAAACTATTGCAATACGTTTAATTGGCCCTTGGTATTTTCCCCGAGGTCGTTCTCAATCCATTTTGGACGACCATGTCAGGCACGTTGTTCACGACAACAATAGGGCGACTTGACAAAGAAGGGGAAATTTCACCCGAGTTGTGCAACGCCATGAGATCTTGATCAGAAAGCTTGTGTGCGCGAGGTATAGCTCCACCGCCGGCTATGGTTCCTTTGATTACCGTATCTAACTCTTCATCTCCTCTGATTGCTAATTGCAAGTGACGAGGAGTGATTCTCTTCTGTTTCAAGTCTCGTGAGGCGTTGCCTGCAAGCTCAATAACTTCAGCAGTGATATATTCAAGAGTGGCAGCCATATAGACTGCAGCAGTGCTGCTAACTCGTCCGTTGGCTGGTGTAAGCAGTCTCAAAAGACGGTGAATTCTTCCTACTGGAAACTGCAATCCTGCTCGAGCGGCTCTGGTCGTTGGAACTTTTTTGGTAGCATTCGTAGCTGCTTTACCTTTTCCTCCTACTTTTCCTCCTACTTTACCACCGACTTTACCGCCTACTTTACCCACATAATGTACACTCTTTCCAATTCCTTCCATTTTCGTGGTCTAATTTTCTAGTTATCGAATTTATTTTAATAATAATAATTTTTAATTTTCCAGAAATTCTACTAATTTTTGAAATTTTTATCAAAATTTTTGTTCATGTTGATAGAGAAACAAACAGCTAATAAAAAGAATATCAATCAGTCGTGTAAAAAATGCTATTATGGAGACAAAAACTCTGCTTTGTTCTGTTTAACTTGTGAAAATTTAAATTTAGACCTTGACGTAAACAATTTGAATCCTGCGTCGATTTTCCCCACTCTTTCTTTTTTGCCCGATGTCAATTGCAATAATCTTAAGAAAGATTTTTTAACAATTGCAAAAAAATTACACCCCGATTTTTATTCAGCGCATGAGCAGTCTTACTGTCTAGAAAAAGTCACTGACATTTTTTCTCACGTGAATTCTCTGTACCACAAACTCATAGATGAAACTAAGAGAGCAGAGTTCGTCTTAAGTTTATTTTACGCACAACAAGAAGAGGACGAAAACGAAAACATCACTGACATCGACTTTATTGATCAAATTTTCGATCTAAACTGTGAAATAAAATCCGTTTCCAACCAAAATGAACTTCACAAACTAAAGAATAAAATCTCTTCGTTAGAAAAAGACGTCAGTTCCAAGTTAAAACAAGAACTTCAGAGTTATTATCCAAACAGCTTTAAATTCAGCAATAAGCTAAGCTCTAAACATCTGCAGCGCGACAAAAGATATTATAGGGTTAAATCTTTGTGCGGGAAACTAAAATTGATTAAAAAATTGCACTCTGAAATAGCAGAAACTTATCTTAAATTAAGCACAAGCAAGAAACTTTAGTTTTTGCTTTGATAATCTTTTTTTATAAAAAAATTGCATTTTACACACAAATAAATTTGTAGATCATACTTGAATTAATTGTATTTAGAAAATATATATAATCGAAAAATTAACGTCTATCGGTTTTTCCGTTGCTCCGTTTACCAGAAAATAAGTGTTTTGGTTTCATAGTACCGATGAATCGATCACTTTCGTGAGACTGCCATTTCTGTTGGTTTGAACTAGGTGTAACAAATCGTTTTTGGATTTTCTTAACGTGTTTTTCAGACTCAGCAAGCAGCTCAGGGTGGTTTTTGAAACCTTTAGATTTACGATCTTTGGGCAGCAAATCAAGTTTGGCTTTAATTCCTTTGGCTCCTGTGCGTCTGGCAAGCTTGAACTTTCTAATGCGTTTTTGCAAAGACTGTGCATTGTTTGAATTAGAGATTTGAGGGACGTCAACGTTAATATCTTCTTTATTAAGTTCAGCGTCGGAGTTTGACATTAAATAGTCGTCTTCGTCAGACACATAATCAGAATCAATATCTGTTGAAATAGTTTTCAACTTCTTCAATACATCTTCAGGTTCAATATCGAGTTCCTCCAAACGCTTTTTAAACTCACTCGTATCAATAAATTGGCGAGAATTAATAGCAGAACTCTTGGATCGTTTCATTATAGAAAGAAGTCGCTTAGCTTCAGCTTCAACGCGCATTTCGTATATAGAATTTTTCAACGCGTACCACTGCTCTGTAGGTTCGTTCAAAGACTTATTCCACAACAACTCGATTTCTTGCTCTTCTTTTTCCAAAGTCTCAAGCTTGGCACAAATATCTTCGTCAATAAAATCGTAGATGTTTTTGCCTTCAAAGAACTCAGGGAATTTATCGTTTTTCCATTCGTCATTGGCTAGCAGCCACTTCTCGTTGGCACCAATACTAAACACACCAGCTCCACCCTGCTTGTTGATATATTCAGATATGGAATCGAGCGTAAGTTTTTGTTTGGTCCCTTCTACAGGAGGTATGTAAGCAGGTCTTTGGGGATCCGTCGGTACATTTGAAACATATGAAGATTCTGTGTTAACAACAGATTTACCTGAAAGCAACTTGTTTCTCTTACGTAACGCCACAAGCATTTCACAAGCTTTATTTTTTGCTTCGTCCAAACCTTCTCCTGTTTTGGTCGAACATCCAACAAATTGAAGAAATTCAAAATAATTAGACAAAGAGTGAATCAAATTGAGCTCTTCTTGAGAAATTTCGGAAGGCTTGCAAATATCAATCTTGTTTAATACAACAACTACTGGTTTATTTTTAAGTACAGCAGCAAGAGAAATGAGCAAGTTGACTTGCTCTTCAATTGTGTAACCACAAGTTGTAGAAATATCAATTAAAAACAAAATTGCGGCAGGTAAGTGCGCTAAACTGACAATACTTGTCATTTCAATAGTATTTCTAGCATTTAGCGGACGATCTAATATACCAGGCGTATCGATTACCTGCCATTTTTCGAGTTGGTAATCAAAATGACCTACGTAAAGAGAACGAGTGGTGAAAGCCCAGTTTGCTGTTTCTACATTAGCGTTAGAAAGTACATTCATAAAAGTACTTTTACCGACATTTGGGTGGCCGGCCAAAAGTAAAGTTTTGGAAAATACATTTATGTTTGGAAGTCTAGACAGATGACGTCTAACTTCTTCTAGATAAGCTAACGTATCTTTGAGCTTGCGTACCAAAGTACACATACGTCCTAAAGCTGCTTTTTTTAGCATTTTACATTTAAACGGGGAGTCTGCATACTTCAGAAGTTTAACGTATTCCTTAGCTATTCGATCGATGAATTTTGTAACATTGCTCACTTGACCAAGAGCAATTTTAAAATGATCTTTGTCATATAATACGTTTGCCAAATCGGCGTAGAAAGGATGTATCGATTCTATTTTTGGAAACTGTGTTATTATTGCTGACAGTTTATCGTGGAAAGTTTGTTGTGCAAACTTGACTTTTCGCATATAAAAAGACCTTATTCGACGAATATCATACTGTGGATGGACCACCGTCGGGGTTTTCCTCTGCGTACCAGATAATACAACATCAATTAAGTCATTTGATGATAATATTGTCTGAATATTCTAAATATACATCTTCATATATTTTTTCAAACGTACATTGAACGAATGCAATTGCGCAAAAGCATTAGTCTCCATTTTGAGACCCATTTGTTTGACGAAATAATATAATAAATAAGAATTTTTTAGTATGTTTATTAATTATTTTTAAACATAACAAAAAAAATTCTTATCATCAAAATGTCTGAAGAAAGCATAATCAACACTGAGCAACCTGAGGCTTACATCGCACCAGAACCCGAAAAGATAGTTGAGTCTATAGATAATGCTATAGAATTATTATTAAAAGACGCGATTAAAACTGGGGACATACGAATTGGCGCTAACGAAGTAATTAAGGCTATCGAAAGCAAGCGGGCTCATTATGTTTTCCTAGCGGCTGACAACAAAGAAGAAAACATTAACAACGTGGTACGACTTCTTGCTAAGAAGAACGAAATTGAAGTTATTGATGTACCCCAAGCTATGCAACTCGGTGAATGGTGTGGACTTTGCAAACTTGACATCAATGGACAACCGAGAAACATTAGAAGCACTTCTTGCGCAGCTATTCTTTCAATCAAAAAGACTACTCAAGCATTGACATTCTTGAAAGAGCACATTAAATCCTTAAAAGAGTAAATTCTTTTTTTGTAGTTCTGTTTAATATTATTTTATAGTTTTTCAGATTTATTCAAGTGTTTTCTCAGCTGTATGTTGCATTAAAACTTGTTAAATTATATGGATTATTTACCAGTAAGGTTAAAAAACGAAATTCTTCATATTATTAGCTTTATATATTTTTCTAATTTCTAAACCATATTAGTTTAGTTAATAAGCTAATATGGTCCATGAAATAGAAAATCTTTGTCCAATATTTTACCCTTCATCTTATCACTGTTCACTTCTACATCATTACCGTGTATTCTTACTTTGATAATAAAATCTTAAACTCACAATCGTTTTTAAGCATACAAGCGACTAGTTAAAGTTTGTAGTTTTCAAAAATTTAAGCTTCGTGCTTGATCAAAAAATATCTGCTAATTTGTTGCTGATAGCATTTTGTTTTTAGCAACGATTCTTTATTTATAGTATAAATTAATAACAGTTAAAAAATAAAACACGAGATAGATTTAACTTCATTACGGCACACAAATTTATTATTTAGTATTTTATTGTTTATGTATAATAGAACACTCAACGAGTTTTTTTCAGCTCTAATTTTGCATTATAAAATCTCTATTTAGTCTAACTGTTCCACTAAAATATATTAAAACAGCATTTAATTTTTACATAAGCCACAATAAAATTAAAGCAAACACACAAGAAATTTTTCTCGATTTTATCCTGAATAATCAAGCTAAAAAACAAAAACGTATACTATAACGCGCCAAAAATCTAATTCATTGCATATTTCCATCAAATATACATTGACAACAAACTTTACGATATCTATGCGTAGTTAGAAAGTTGCGATTCTAACAAACAAAATTTAGTTTAAATCTAAATAAATAATAAATTAATAAAGAAAAAATATCTATGGAGACAACTGTTATATATAATAAACAACCATAAGTTCAAATAAGCATTTTACCTTTAGCTGTAAATATTTTGTATTTATGTAAAATAATACATGTCAGAAGAATACACAGAAAATCCGTAAGTGTCATAATTACCAACTTGTAGAAACTCTCAAACAAACGTTAGCAATGAAACCCTAACAGCTATTATAGATACAGACGTGAATTTATTCATGAAATGGATGAGTGAACAATGGCTTTTTCAAGCTACAAAAAAGATTTTTTGGGTTGAAGAATTAAGATTAGTAGGAATAATGAATGATATTTTTGCAACAATTCCAGACTCGCTACTAGATTTAAAAATTGGAGATTTAATATCGTGGGCGGAAAATGGAGAAGTTCCTAATGAATGTAAGTTGAGTTAAAAAATTAGTTTTAGCATATTTAAAAATCTATAAAACTTTGCTTTGGTGTCGACAGCTGTTTCCAGTTTCTAATGAGCAAAGTAAACGACACGAACTGCTACAATTCGAGTAAGAAATTGATTCTAATATAATCAAATGCTAACAAATTTTATTATTAAATATGTAATTTTCTTAATATTTGATAAATACTTTTGTTTTGATCGAAAAACCTTGAATTCACTGCCATGATATAGAATGAAAGTAATACGTATCAGAAGTAGAAAAGGTTTAAACCGATTTTCAATTGACGAAAATATTATTGTGTCAGAATTTGTCAATGCAATTCGCGAAAAACTTGAGCTTAATAGCGTCGAAGATGTCGAAGTTAGATCTGGCAGCATAATAATTTCTGACTTAGACCCCAAATCTCCATTATCCCTTCATATCAAAATTAACGATGGTGATGTATTCGATATTGATTTTATTGAGTCTGAAACCAAGGAAAAATCAGAAAATGAAAACGACATAGAAAACGAAAATATGGTTAAAAAAAACGATATGAACCCGAGTGAAGGGCAAAGTAAAACACATAACTATGATACGTTTGAAAAATACTTATTTAATGTCAAATACAAAATAGATAATTTACCATTATCGCAGAAAAAAGTAACAGAAAAACTCAAGACTGGCCATCAAATAAAACTGCCACCTCCTATTACGCTAACAACTCAATCGTACAGAATGATTGACCATATTGAAATATTAAATACGCAAATACTTAACGAAACTGTAGCTGATTGGTTAATTGATCCCAAAGCTGAAAAAATGATAGCGTTTCTTATTGGGTATTACGCATCTGACGCAAATTTCGGCGACAAGCACAATAAAGGTATCAAAGCTATTGTAGAAAATATTGTAGTTCCATCGCAAACATATGATCCAGAAACTCAACAAATAACTATAATGGATAGTAATAATTCACTGTTGGAAAAACTTTTGGATAAATTTAACTTGGACATAGTTGGTATACTGTTTGCTCATCACGGCGATTCATATATACCCAGTGCGAACTTCAAAGGGCTAACAGATTTACAGCTACATTTCTTAAAAAAAAACATGCATTATACTGGTTACGCTATTAATTCGAACGTCATTCTCACTGCGAGAACCGAAGAAGACCAAACTGTCTACGATGCATTTACGATCTCTGATTTAGGTTTGTATTTAGTTTCCAACGACTTGATAGAATATAATAATAAATTAGATAGTTTAGTGCCCACCAAGCCGCAGAAAGGTGAGTATTTTCCACAAATAATCGAAAATGGCAAAGAGGTGGAAACAATAACGCCCGAATGGTTCTTAATTAGAGTTGTAGAATCAGCTTCTGCCAAACCGAAACTTAAGTTTAGCTATCATCAATCTCGAGCAAAAAACCAAACTTTAAGCCATTTAGATCAAGTTTTGAAGCAGGTCAAAAAAGATGGTCCAAAGTACTTGCTAGACTTCGACTTAATTTTTTACTTAGCAAAAATAATAGGGCTCGATAGCATCGAACCAATCATTGAATATTATAAAAATCCTGATTCAGAAATAGATCAAAGTTATCTGGAGTTTTTATATTCATTAACCAGTTGAGTTTTTTTCTATTCATTTTTTGTTAAAAGACTGCACTAAAACATCTAGGTTTTCCAAATTTGTTGTCTGCAAAAAGTTAACAATCGAGAGTTGTAATTCAGTTGCAAATTTTCTAAAAACATATTCTAGTTCAAGAGACTTACTCAGTGCTTTTAACATCGCTTTTATTTGTATACACTTCGCTGATTAATTCGATAAATCTATCTGTCATCGCTTTCAAACTAAAATAATAAACAAAATTAATATAAAAAGAAATTCCCTTATTTTGCAAAACCAAAACAATAATAAATATTGAGGTTAATTCTTACATGTCGTGAGTCTGTTTTCAAACTATTAGAATGTATGACTTAGGATTGCAAGTTGGAGATGTGTATAAGCAAATAAATTTTGCATCAAAGCTCGGTTTCAAAGGCGTTGCATTCACAAGAACGCTTAACGGGTTAACTCGTGACAATTTACGGAAGTTGGCTCCACCCGACGTTAATTGCAATACTGATCTTGTTACTTCCATCTACAAACTTGGGGACCCACTAGACATCGAACTGAGTAATACGCCGAAATTCACCGTATTTTTTCGTCTACACGTTGTATTAAACGAAGTTTCTGATTTAACCTTGCTCCACTCGTTTTTAAAACTGTCTCAAAACTCTAAATCTGATCAATTTCATATTATAAGTGTAGAAATAAAATCCGAAAAAGTACTCAACAACTTGCTAAACTTACCTTCGAGATTGGTGGATATTATTCGAATCGGTTTAAACACATGGGATGGATTTATTAAATTAAAAAGGAAACAAATAAATCGTCTTGTGCAACTTGGATATATGTTTGAGCTTTCTTTTTTACCTGTTTTACTGAGCGTTGAGAACGTATCTTTTACTGGGCAGATTGCAGTTCACTATTTACGATATATAAAGGCGGAAAATTTATTAATAACGTCAGAAGCACAATTTTGTACAGAAATGAGATCACGTTATGATTTAGCCACATTATTGAGTCTTTACGGTGTTACGAATGCATCAGACAGACTAAAAATTGTAAATACAAATCCTTTAAAAATTATAGAATTTGCTATATTGAGAAAAGCTAACGGTCCTATTATAAATTTTTCTTCTAAAAACAACTAGGCGTTTTTTAATAAATAAATTTTAATTAGGAATTTTTAATAATATTTCTTATTATAAAAATGAACAAAGTGATACAATCAATCAGTGATTTCTTTGCTAGAATTTTCTTTTCCATAATTTCTCTCTTCATTCCAAAAAAGAAACTTAAGGAAGGTCAAAAAAAACGAAACATATCAAAAAGCCTTATAGAAAATTTACGCAATCGCAATCATAAGCGTTCGCTGATTGCAGCGCAAGACTCGATAAATCTCGTTGATGTGATATCCTCTCCCAGCAGTCAACCTGGCAAAGAACCGCGTTTTTTAACTTGTTACAACATTATTTCAATGCGAACAGACAGTTGCATTAGGAAGATTAAAAATATAATTAGTAATTCTAAAGAAACAGATCAATTAAAATCCAGTTTTAGCTCAAATATTTCATTATCCAGAGAAAACAATAATAACAACTTAAAAGTTTGTTTCACAGAGCCCGTTGTTAGTGACAGCTTTTTTTACGAATCCCCAGTCAACGCTGACAATTCGTCATCGATTTCTGATGATTCTGAATTTTCCAGTGAGAATGAAATTGAGACTAAAATTTATAAATCAATCAATAAAGACAATATTCACATGAGAGCCAATACTGCCATACCACAAATAAGTACTGAAGAAATTTCAAACGCTTTTTTTTCAGATAACGTTATGAACGTTAACCCAGCTTTGTTAGGTGCTACCTCGCATATAGATTTGCCTCATATCAATTCTGAATTTAACAATGTGGACGACTTAAACAAAGATTCGAGCGAAAACAATAACTCAAATGATATACAAACAACTCTTTCTAATGAGCAATCGGTTTCTGGCGCGTCAGACGAAGAACCTGGCAATACAGCTAAATTGCAGTTGATAGACCTGGTTGTATCGGACGAAGAATCTTTTGGTTCTGAAGAAACAAATTACGACATTGAATTCGGCGACGATGTTATAGAAAATTCAGACATTTTTAGAGACTCAACCAATATTTGTACACCTAATGAAACCACGGATGAAAAATCTGAAGATTGCAATGAAACCTCTGCAGAATCTTATTACGACCACGATGAAGCAGAAAAATTAAAATCAGAAGCTAAAACTGCACTAAGCCAAGAAAATTATGAACAAGCTATAGAAATATACTTCAGTGCACTTAAAGTTACTAATCCTGAAAATAAAGAACTGACGTCAATAATATACGGCAACATCAGCTACGTTTATGGCTTTCTCAACGACTGGGAAAAATCACTTGAACACGCTGATCAATGTGTTAAACTAAACTCAAAATATGCGAAAGGGTATTTGCGCCGATACAAAGCTAATTATCAAAAGGATAAAATCCACGACGCAGCAGCAGATTTAGAGAAAGCTTGTGAATTATCGGAGGAAATTGCGAAAATTTACAAAGTAACGTTGCAAACTGTTAAAAATGAATCTGCTACGCGATTCGAATCAGAAAAAAAAGAGATGCTGGACAAATTCAAAACTTTTGGAAATTGGGCTTTAGGTAAAGTTGGAATGTCAATAGACAATTTTGAACTTGTGCAAGACAGCAACTCCGGAACATATTCCGTTAAATACAAAGGAAACAATCAGTCTGAACAAGTTAGTGTTTAAATAGTGCATAAATACATTTGAACTCACGTTTGCTAACTGAGCAAATTTTTTATAAAGAAAGTTATTTATTATATAAGTTCATTCCAATTTAAATAAGTATCATAAAAACTACAATAAACAAACGTTGGTGATTTATTGAACCATAGCCAGAGTTTCAAGGACTTCTTTTGCAGCGGAAGCAATGGCATTTTGGCGCTTAGCTTTGAATTCTGCAAGCTGGTTCTTTCTCTTTTCAAATCTGGCGAAACTCTTTTCCTTACGCTTAGTTTCAAGTTTCTTAACTACGGCATCTCCTTTCCATCCGACAGAGCTACTTAAATCGCCAAGTCTAGTAGTTGGAGTTACATTTTTCAAAACTAAATGTTTCAAGGCATCAGGAGCGCAGACTCGTTTTTTCATATCAAACTTGCCTGGGATTCCTTCGAAAACACTGATGCGATTTAAAGCGTCAGCTCCTCTTCTAGTTTTATGAGGGAGCATTCCACGAATAGCTCTCTTGAACATTTTTGATGGTTCTCTGTAGTGAATGTGGCTGTGTTTAGTGGGGTTTGAGTTTGAGTGTTTACGTAAAAACTCCATAAACTTCAGACGGTTTCTAAATTGAGAACGAGAAATAATTATTTCTTCGGCACGGACAACAACCACGTTATTTCCTTCCAAAGCCTTCTTAGCAACTATGGCAGCTAACCTACCATAAATATGGTTTTTACCATCTATAACTATTTGTTTTGAACCAGTTAAACTCATTGCTACACTAATAATATTAAATTATTCGGACATTCTTATGTTTTGTCTAAAAATTTATACAAGGTCAAATAGAATCTTTTATACATATTATAAAGTATACTAATATATCAAGAGGACTTTTAGAAGAAAAAGTCTGTAAAACACGAGTTTACATCGATTATTATGTGTTTATCCATAAAATTTATTAAATCATTTTTTTTTTATTAATACAAAATATTATATAAAATTAATCGGTATGATTTTTTTTTGAAGTTATGAAATGAACAATTATATAGATAATCATTACTTATTATTTATATAAATAGTTAAAATTTTTAAACAAAATATTGAACTAAATTAAATAAGACTAAAGTTAACATTGTTTTTGTTTAATAGTCTTTCCGTTATAATTTGATTTATTTGTTCTCCTCAACGTATAGTTCTGAATTAGATTTTGGCAAAATATTTAAAGATAAATTTTCACACGAATCCATAATGTCGTCTAGAATTTGGTGATATATATCCCAAAGGAGGAAAAAGTAAATTATTATATTACCCTCATAAAGGATTAGCTTCATCACGTAAAAGAGTAAAATGAATTGTGTTTCAATTACACTTGTTTGAATTGATTTTTGAAAATAAAAAGCTAATTGCTCGAATGTATGTAATAAATAGTTAAAATCTCTCAGTTGACAATTCAAAAACGTCTTATCGAAGTCTTGTTTTTCCAAGTGATGGATGGAGCAAAATGACTTCCAATCATTGAAAACCTTTGTAAAGTATTTTGTTGAAAAAATCAACAAAAATTCTTCTTTAATTATTCTTAAAATCAAGTGGAAATTTGCCGGTTCGAATTTGAGCTCGTTTTGAAAAACATGTAGATTTATCTTTAACTTTCCACAAATTAGTTTGTTTATTTCAATGGGAAAGATAAAAGTAGAATTTTTTTCAATTGTACTTCGTATAGTTTTGACAAAAGGCGAGAAGGAATCGAATAAAAAAACACGGTATTGTTCAATCAAAAAAACATTAGCATCCATCATCGGAGTATATTGATAACTATAATGCAAAGCCAAACTGTTTAAAATTTCTAAACTTGGATATTTTTTAAAAAAATCTTTGTGCGATCGTTCTAAAGTTTGGACTAGTTCTTCCTGGTAATGATTCATCATTATTTCGTCAGAAATAATATTCTTATTTACCGGTGAAAAATTATTGTTGAGATTGGCGTCTAAATTTATTACGAAACCTGATGGGTAATCATAATTAATTGGTTTTTGCTTCTTATCTACATTAGTGTGCAGATTAAAAGGTGAGGGCGATAATATTTCTGGAGTCAAAATTTCTGAACTGGTAAAGTTATTTTTAAATTTAGTTTCATCTCTTTTAAAGCAAACACCTGTCAAACTAAATACAGCTTTCACGCAACTTACAATTGATCTTATAGTAAAACCAACTATGCCATATAGCAAGTAGAAAATTGGTTTGTGTAATAAGATAACTATAAATATAGCTAATAGAAAGTAACAAACAATATGGAGCTTTGCATAAAAACGTTCAATAGAAAATATCGACGTAAATTTGTTCCAGTAGCAGAAAATATCAATATTTGCGCATGAATCATTTACAACAGGATTGTCTACTGGTTTAGGTTCTTCTGATTTATTTTCTAAACTGTTTTGTTTTTGAATAGTAAGATTTTGCCTCACTTTTTCATCAAATTCAATTATAAACGCGCTTTCTTCTATTTTTTCGCCTCGAGCATCAAACAATAAAATCTTGCAATTGTAGACAGCTCTGTTAAATCCAGAATCTCGCTTAAATGACAAATAAACATCTTTTTCGCTATATTCATTTACTGTGAAAGTAGACGGAAGTGTTTCGATATAATCAGGACTGTCAAGGTCAGAATCATCGCTTTCATGATGTAAACTACATTCATTTCCCATAATGGCAAATTTTCCAGTATTAGCAGAAAGGTTTCTCACGACTGACTTCACGTGTACTATATTATGAGAAGAGTTTATAATGTGTACCGAAGAAAAACTACCTTTCGCAATCAAAGCATAGTTTTCGACTGCGTCGGCGTCTAAACTAAATGAAACTATTGAATTGTGTTGTTTTCTTGTAAGTTTCCAAGTAAGTGAAACAGCTTTATCTGATGGTTCTTGGTTTCTAATTTTATATTTTGACGTAGTTATCATTGGTTCGTCTTCAGCCCAACTATCTAATCTTTGATATTTTAGTATATATTTTGTGTACTCAGGACCTTTTTCCGTTAATATTTTTTCGTCTGATTGTAGGTAATCCAATGCATTATATCCGGTACAGTGGCCAGCTCTTTTTAAGCAAAACTGACTGTTGTCATCAAACCAATTAGTATTGAAATCTGAATTCATATATGCCCATGTATAAATACTGGTTCCGATCTTTTCACATCTGTTGCCATTTAAATCAACATAGTTATTATCCACCATTAATGATTTACTTGTATCAGTAGAACCTTTGGGAATGAGAACCATTCGATGGTTCAAAGAAGGATATGACGATCCTGCCACGTCGCCACTCAATTCCAGCTTGAAATGAAATCCGTATTTAGGAAAGTAAACAATTGGTTTTGAAAGATTTAGCACGACGTTCAATTTATCATATTCACAACCGTTTACCGAAACTATTATTTTTAATTCAATTTCAAAAGCCAAATTTCCTGAAGTAATCGAATATACGCTATATAGAGGTTCTTCTAGTTCTATACAATGTCTCGAAGCCCAATTCTTATCATTACCAGAAAATAGTTTACAATGTATTTGAGATCGTTTAATGGAATTTGGGTAGTTGATTTTTTTACAACCACAAACTCTTCCCTGGTTCAATAGTTCGATTTCTTCATTGCTCGAGCTTATTTGTTTCAAAATAGCATCATTTTTTGGATTTTTACAAGCTAAAGGGTCCCAGTCAACATCTTTATCTCTACTCATGTAGTTAACACTTTCGTCAGACCATCGATAATGAAATACTTTTTCTTTAAAGCCGCCAAAAACATCATTCTCATACCTTAAATTATAATTTAAAAAAACATCAGACTTCTCCAATATTATTTCGAATTTTAAATCGTGATATAAACCTTCTATTTCATGATGTTTTTTGGCGACAAATTTTACACCACAATCTGAGTTTACATAAATAAACCCTTTATAGAATTCTTTTAATTTTCCATCGATATTCTCAAAAACTTTTGTTCCTTGAAAGGAGACTACTACTGAAATTAAGAAAAATAATATATAAAGAACCATTAAATAGCATTAATTAAATTAACATAATTCGGTTAAAAAAAATTTTTAGATTGATACAAAATTTTTAATTAATTGTAAAAAGTCTCAAAAACTCAGCTTCCATTTCGTCTAAAGCTGGAGCACAGATAACTAATGAATGTAAATGCATACCGAAATCAAAATTTATCAATTTTTTCCATGAACCAGCCGCTATTTTTTGAGTTTTATCTCCAACACGTGCGACTCCAACTAAAATTGCTTCATCAGGCAGTTTCTCAAACAAACCAAGTTCATTCAGCTGTTGTACTGCTTGATTTATTGACATAAAACGCGGAGACTCATAAATATTATTTTTTTTTATCAAATTATCTACAGTTTGTTCACGAACTTTTATGTCTAACAACGTCAAAGTGTGCATATTGGCGTTGTAATTGGTAATTATTTTATCAATATATGAATTTGGTCTCCAATTGGATTCGAAAAAAGGAATCGATACAGTTTGTCCAAATCGATAAAGTTGTAATCCCGTACAGCCTATTGCATTCATTATTGACGCGTTGTGAACTACTTCAATGTTTACTTTTTCGTTGTAGGCTCGCATATATAAGTCGTGATGTGTAGTGGCACAAAACGGATCTCCAATGACACAGAATGCGACGTCGGTGTTTTTAGCTGGGACAATGATTGTGTCACTATTAGATTCTACCAACTCTCGGTAAGCCATAGTAACTTCAGCGTTTGGATATCTGTCCTGAAACACTTCAAGAGAAGTTTCTAACTGCACTGATGTATAACTTTCTAAAAATATTTTCTGACATTTCTTTAAAATATTATCTCCTCTAATTGTTATATCATCAAGTGAACCAAGTCCTAAACCAACAAAGTAAAGTGTCATTTTTTTTGCTGTTAAGTAGACTAATTTTTTTTTGTTTTATTTTTTTTGAAAGCTTAAACAATGATTCTTCAAACTGTTACCACACATATATAAATTAACACGAATCATTTTAGTTATTTTTATATTTCTTTCATTAATTAGATGATAAAATAATAGTTAGGTTCAAAATTATAATTTCAAATGCATGATGTTAAGGCAAAAATATTTTAATAGTTTCGACATAAAACTACTATCTCGTTTATATTTCTAATTTATAACTATTTGATCAATTTAAATGACTTTTTACCTGAAATGACTCACGCACAAGTCAATGAACAGCTAATTTTTTAACTCTGACCGATATTTTTGTTATCTAGTGTTATTTTTTTTTTAATTTAATAATACTACATTCCTTTTGACAAATTTTCTAGTGTCAATCGGTGTAAATATAAATTAAAAAAAATTTCTGGAAAACTAGATATCGACAATATTCAGTAGTTTTAAACCGCAGTAAAATACCAGTTTGGCTTGGCTTATTTTGTATATTATAAATAATATAGTAGTTAGATCAGCTTAGGTGATAATAAATCACAACACAGTCGTTATATGTATAATATAATAAACCATAAAAATAGCTATTAAAATAACTGAGCTTATTTTGCATTAAATTTACGTTTTTTACGATGTATTACACATCAGTAGGTCGAAAAACGTTTCATTTATTAAATTAAAAATAATACTTTAAAATATATTTAAACAAATAAACCTTAAGTTTTACAATAACATATCAATAAACAAGTAGTATCTGGTAAAATTAATGACTGCTTTAGTAAAACAAAACATAATATCAAATCGAACTAAGACAAACAATAGCACAAAGTTTATTTGATTAATTGGTTTTTCGAACCTATTAATCAAAAAACAAATTTTTTTAAAGTCAAATACATATTTAAGCTAGCCTAGTTTTTTTCTACTATTTAATGCACTATCGAGAATAGTGAAATTGTTGTAATACTTTTAATTATTGCTTTTATAATATATTTATTTAAATTATTATTATAATAAGTCATTTAAAATTATTAATTAAAAAACTAGACAGATAAATAATAAATTTTGTTGTTTTTCGTATTATAATTATGTAATATCATTATGACTTACTAAATAAATTAAGAATATTATAATAATGCCATATTCTGATGCCATTTTAATTACGATAGTCCATTTGATCATTATTTGGATTATAAAGCACTTAACATCGTTAATAAATGATTAAAATAATAAAAATAATTTATAATAAATGTTTGGAAAAATTGTTACTTAGTGAAACTACAACTAAACTTACATATATAATATTTAGTCTAGTAAAAACTTGAGTTTTTAACATGAAAAAACGAGATTAATGTTGTTTATTGATGTTTCACATTAAAAATAACGTAGAATTCGGTCGTGGAATTTATTCTAGTGGCGAATGTACAAGTGGAAAAACTATTTTCAAGGAAAAAGCTTGTCTAGATGCCATTTCTCCTGAGTGCTTACCTTATGTTTGCAGTTTTTGTTTGAAAGTGAACTTTGAAAGCGGTTTTGTAATAAAATGCCAGCTGTGTAAATTAACGTTTTACTGTAGTAGTGGCTGTCAAAAAGCCGATAATGGCCGACATCAAAACAAAATGTGTAGTTTACTGCTTTATTACCAAAAAAATAACTCGATTGAAGAAACTTACATTGGATTTGGATTTCTGTTAATTGATTTATTTTCTTGGAAAAATTTTTCACGCGTCGACGTAAAACTTGATCAAGAGAATTTTCTAAAAGACATAGTCGATAGCAATAAAGAAAACTTCAGTGTAAATGAACTAAATTTTCTTGAATCTAAATCTGAAAAGATTGATGCAATCAAATACACTAATTACATTGAGTATTTAAAAACTTTGTTAAATGTGGACAAAAAAATAATAATTTTTTTATTCGGGGTTTTTCAGAACAACTGTTTTGCTTGTACAAACGATTATGGAAAAGTTTTTAGTATAGGATGTTTCATACGCCAGTCATTGTTTAATCATGCTTGTGATTACAACTGTCTACCCATTTTTAGTTCTGTATATGACAAAGTAAAAAAACGTTACGTTGTGTACTCAAAAATAAAATCAATTCAAAAAATTGAGGCTGAACAGCAATGCTTTATTCCTTACATAGACATTTTTAAAACACCTGAACAAAGAAATGATATATTGGAGAAGGAATATGGTTTCCGCTGCAACTGTAAATTATGTGATAATTATCAATATCCAGTTTTAAGCTTGAAAGTTTACTTATCACATTTCGTTGTAACGAAAAATATGAAGGATCGTTTAGAAAATGAAATAGAGTTATTTGCTGACGGACAAAAAGGTTTAAACTTAGATATAAATCGCGTGCCTCTTGAAAAAAGCAAAAACGCAATTTTCATATATGAAATGCTTCAGCGTTCAATAAATTCTTCTACAACATCTCTTTCACATTTACTAAAACGCAAATTAGAAGAGTTAGCTGTTTTGAAAAAATTGCTTCATCCACTTAACAACCTCATTTATTCTTATTTAAACGATTGTTTCCAAATTTGCGAAGAACTAAAATTCACTACGCTCAGTTTGTCTATACTAGAAGAAATAATTTTCATTCTAAATAGTGTGTTATATCCAAAAAAAGAATATCTCGTTAACTTACTGTTGCTGGTAACATATTATAGGGTGTGGAGCGAAACTGTTTTTTTCGAACCTGAGTTTGAATGTTTAATAATTGATCTTTATAACACAGTATTTGGCGCTGACAGAGAAATTTACAAAAATATGCAACTTGATATCAAACAATGCAAAGAAACGTGTGAAAAAAAAAGAACGACTCACGGTTTACGCCCAATGTAGATAGGAACTAAAAAAATATTTCAAGCTTTTTTTCTTACCTTTTTTAATGAAAATTCGTTTATAAAGCTTAGGAATTTTTTTGTAATCTGTTTTTTGTAACTTTTGGATTTTAATATTGTCAGTGTAAGTCAAATTCAGATCAGTTTCTATTTTGACAACTTCAGGTAATTTTTGAGATAAAGCAGAATGAAATACAATTTTCCAAATGTTGTTATTTTTTTTTGATTTCAAGCATATGCAGTAAAGTCCTTCCTCATCTCGAGGTATTTCGTATGCTTCTTCTAAATGAAGAACATTTACGTTGTATTCCTAACAAAATGAAAAATAATTCCTACTTACATTTAAGTGAATCTCTTTTTCAGGGGCTTGCTTGGCCTTAATGCTTACTGACATTTCAGATTTCGCTGAGTTATCCATGCTGTTATTACTTCTATCTTTTCAAATTATAATAAGTTTGCATGCACATACATTATGTAAAACCAAAAAACTAATTCAATTTTAAATGTCGATTTTTCAGTGTCATGAAATCAAAAGACTGATCTATTTAATTATGTAATTTAAGCAAAAATATTTTTGAATATTTATCTGGTTTAATTATTCACATTTCATTTTGTGACAAACAGTATGAGTATTTCTAACTATCATAACAAATCACTGTCTAATAAGCACAATGCTAAAAGATATGAAATTTCAGACGAACAGAAACAAGAACTTAAAGAAGGTAAGTCAAGTAACAAACAATTTCTAGCTTTTGATCTATTCGATTCTAACAAATCAGGGAAAATCGATTTTCACGAATTTAAAACAATTTTAAAAGCGTTAGGTTTTGATGTAATGAAACAGAATCTATCAGATATCATGAAAACGTATGACAGTAGTAATGCTGGATATTTATCGTTCAACGACTACATGAAAATTATGACAGAAAAAATAGCCGCACGTGACCCTTTAGAAGAGATTAAACTCGCTTTTAAGCTGTTTGACGAGGATAACAGTGGATTCATCACTAAAGAAAAATTAAAACGTGTGGCAATTCATTTAGGAGAAGATTTGAACGATGAAGAGCTCAAAAGCATGATTGACGAGTTCGATCGAAACTGTGATGGTATGAGTAAGTTATAAGTACATAAAACTCTAATAGTTGATGCCCAAGAATTTATTGCAATAATGAACCAGGCAGCTCTTTTTTAAACGTTTTTAAATTAATTTAAACCAAATCTCTCCCATACACTATCGCCAAATTCTTCGTAAGTTTTCTTCGTAAAGGAAAGTTCTTTAAAATGTTCGATGCATCCTACTAAACTAGCGCCTTTCCATACCGCGTTTTCTCTTGTCAAAAATCGCCAACCTTTAGGCAAGACTTTTTTTTCTTGTTGAATTTTTTTCTGCCAAAAGTTATGATTCATAAAAGGTAAGGAATCAAAAAGCTGAGCCGGCAAAGCTTCCGCAACGGAATTTTCAACGTAAGGAATAATCATTTCCGCGAATTCACCAAAACTTACTACAGTGCTCATCATTTCTTGCGACCGAAAAGACTTCGCGTTTTTAATCGAATTTTTGAAACACTCAATGATCGAATTAGGTTTAGAAGTATCGCAGAAAAGATCGAAAAAAACATTATTAATAAGTTTTTGTTCGTCAGGCAATACATCGTTGTTTTTAAATGCATTTAAAAAATTTTCCTTGTAAAATAATTGCAACAAAGAAGGATGAATGTTCTTTGTGTCGAAAGAAAGTTTTTTAATTCTTTCAAATTGTTTTACGACAGACTCAGATGTTAATGCTGCTATTAGATCGCGGCCCGTTCGATTATGAGGAGATAAACATTCTGCCATGCGGCAACCTTGTTTTACAATTCCCGTATTGCAAAATAAACTTGAAAGTCTGAAAGACACAGCTGAAGTGCGAGCACAAGCATAAGTTGCAAGCACTGAATCACATTGTGGTAAAATATCTTCTCCGTTTAGTTGGTAAAAAAATAATTCGGTAAACCTGTCTCGAAGAGCGTTTATTTTCGTGTCCGGGAGAGCCAATACAATTGAAGTGTCAAGTGGTTGTTGCATAGAAAACAACATTGATTCTAATATATCCGTGTCTATTGTAATATCATTTCCGTTAAAATTGTATAAATCTTCGACTTTAGAATCATATATAATCTGAATAGGTTTTTTTATGGGAAACAATGTATCGTGATTACTAGATTCGAATTTTAATGTAGAAACTGCACTTGAACATTCATAAGATTCTGAAGGAGCTACATTTCCACAGATTCCTACGTTAAAACTACTAGTAATCTCCAATGCAGTTACCATGCTTATAAAACTAATTCAAGATATTTAAAATTATTGATTCAAGCAATTAAAATCATATGATTACCGTTTTAGGCCGATATTGCACTAATCCCAATATAAAGCAAAAAAAAAATAAAAAAATATTTCTTTCTAAACTCAGCTTCCTCTAAAGTTTTAAATATTCTACTCACTTTTTTGATAAGTTGCTGTATATTTAAAACTAGCAACTTTTACTAATGTATGACACTAAAAAAAGAAAATACAGTTTTAATACTGTAAATGACGTATTGGAAGAAAAGAAAATTTGTCATAATGTTTTTAATGGAAACGAAGCTAAATTTTGTGGTAAGCTTGCTGATCTTGAAAAATATAAAAAATACTTTTCTGATATCAAAACGCTATTCAATGAAGATTTAGAATCTAATTTAATTGTCTATTCCATTGTAAGGTTGGCATCAAAAATAGTTCTGAATGAAAAATTCTCAACTATAGTTCTCGAGCAAACATGCAGCAAAAACATTGAAAACCTAATCAAAACTTTTTTAGATATAATTCGAATGCGCTGTAACGTAAAACGAATTTCTTCACCTCTCAAATCAGAGAAAACGGATGAACAACTAATTTGTTCTATTTTAAATATAATCAACTCTTGTGTCGTTAGCATTATACCAGACATTGCTTATATTACAACTAATATATATGCAAGTCATACTGTTGAATTGCTCATCAAAACATTAATTAGTGTTTTGTTAGACGGTGAGCTAGAAAATTTTTCTGGCAAAGATGAAGTAAAACGTTATAAAAAGCTTTTTACAGAACATTTAAGTTCTATACTGCAGCAATTAATACCAAACAATATGAATGTTTTAATCTGTTTTATATCTCATCGTTATCAATCGTTCGTAATCCGGACTCTGATAACTGAATGTGCAAACAATTACGAACATCCCAATCTGAAGGAAATCAATCAATCTCTTCATAAATTTGAAAACGAGTTTTTGGATTGTATTCATAAGACTGAATTGGATCGTTTATGTGAAGATACGCGGGTCTCGGCCACTTTACAAGCTTTATTTTATCATACCAAATTTGACGTATCACTTTCAAGCCGAATGTATGAAATGCTCGTCGTTAAAAACGATGAACATGTTTGTATCGATTGGTATGTGACTTCTGATAAAGATAAAAAGAAAAACTTCATGCTCAATTTTGTAATCGCAAATTATTTTACTGATGACGACCGCTATTATGTTTTGCACAATTACTATTTAGTTTTGGAGGATTCTGAATTTGCCATCAATAAAATATTGGCCGTCGAACGATCTGTTCAGATATATTGTTTTAAAACTTTAATCTCTCATCTGAACTTGAATAAGAAAAGTTTACACGCGTTGCTAGACGCGCTAAATTTCAAATTAATAATTTTATCCTACCGATCTTTCTTTGCAAGTCTACTGGAACAAACGTACATAAAGTCTAAAGTTTTAGGAAAATTGTTTATTAAAAAGATTATGGATGCACTTTCATCCATTTGCGAAATTGATAAACTAAATATTCAAATATTTTCGAAATATAAATTGAAAAAGTCCGAAAAAGTATCTACTATATTTATAGAAATGCTTATTAACATACTTAAAACGCTCAATTCTCGAAAATATTTTTACGATGATTTGTTTGACCAAATTGTTTTATTTTTTAATGAATTATCAGAAGATGACTTGAACAATCCAAAAGTAGTAAAGTTATTGGAAATTGCAAACCATTCTCCAGATGACGAATTAAACCATGCAATAAATCTAATTGTTCTCCAAAACTTGAAAAAATTGTGCTTTGATTCCAAAGGATCTTATTTGGTTAGTTCAATTTATGTAAAACTGAATGACAAATTAAAAAAAAAATGTTTGGAAAAAATTAGGCCTTTCACTACTGAATTAAAAAATAAAAATATTTCCCTATATAAAATTATCTTTGACTGAAATTGAGATATCTATTTCACTAGAAGAAACGAGAAATAGTTTCTTTTACGAAATAAATTTTTAATATGCCTACTATTATTGTAGATTCGGTTGAACTCCACAAAACTTTTTATAACAAAATTTATTTTGAACCATATGAAGTTGAGAATTTTATTGAATTCGTAGATACCATTACTGATGAATATGGATTAGAGTACGATGGTATTGATACAAATAGCGAAAAATGCAAATTGAGGATTGAAGTCCCAGCAAATAGATACGATCTTTTGACGCTCGAAGGCTTGGCTGACTCATTATTACGTTTTAAAAGTAAAGATTGCCAAAAATTTTACGAACCTCTCGCTGCAAGTGATATTTATACTGATCTACGAGTAACCAAAAACACGTTAGCAATACGTCCTTATTGTATTGCAGCTGTCTTTAAAAATGTATCGATGGATGAACAAGCAATGGCTTCGTTTATTTCTTTGCAAGATAAATTACATCAAAACATTGGAAGAAATCGAAAATTAGTAGCTATAGGTACGCACGATCTTGACAAATTAACACCCCCGTTCAGATATGACGCGTTACCTAAAGATCGTGGATTTCAATTTGTGCCTTTGAATTATTCCAAATTAGTCGATGGGAATGGAATGATGGAACTTTTTAAAGATTCTTACTTAAAACCCTATCTTTCCTTGATATCTAATTTTGAAGATTTTCCATGTATTCTTGATGCAAACAACAATATTTGTTCTATTCCCCCAATAATTAACGCTGACTTTTGTAAGATTACTTCGAACACAAAAAATATTTTTGTTGAAATAACCGGGATTGATTTTGTCAAAATGGAAATCGTGCTAGATATCATTGTTCACTTCATGTCGATAATATCAAATAATTCATCGCCCGTACACAAAGTCATGATTGCGTACGATGAAGATCACCCTGGTGTGTTTTCAATGGCTTCTAGAGAAACATATAAAACGTTAATAACCCCTAGGTTGTTATCAAATAAAATTTCTTTCAACATTAATTATTGCAAGCAGATTTTAGGAGATTTACCTATTGATTATGATATAATTACTGATAAATTACTACCAATGATGGGATTGAGAATTGTCGACAAAGCAGATGAAAACTACATTGTTGAATGTCCTATTTATCGTAAAGACATATTACATGCTTGTGATATTTGTGAAGACATCGCTATTGCTTATGGATTTAACAATTTCAAGTTTAAATTTGAAAAAATCGCGTTTGTACAAGATTTAACTAGTGTGTGTGAACGAGTCAGAAGACTTATTACTTGTGCTCAATACAAAGAATGTTTGTCATTTGGATTAGTTAGTTTGAAAGACCTATTTGAAAATTTAAACAGAAATAAAAAAAAAATCGATTTCAGTTCACAAAACTATGAAATAAATCAATATTATGATTATTTAGAGCCCGTTGAATTGGAAAGTCCTAAAAACATTACTTTTGAAGTAGTCAGAACTTCCTTGATACCTGGGGTTCTTCATACATTGTCTTCAAACCAAGCAGCTGCATTGCCTTTGAAAATATTCGAAATCGGTGATGTCAGTTTTATCGTGAAAAATTCCGATGTTAAATCTCGCCACGCCACCAATCTTTGTGCTTTATTTGCTAATAATACTCAAAGCGGTTTTGAAATCACTCACGGATTGTTGGATTATCTCTTGAAATCGTTGGGGTATACATTTTTATATTCTGAAAAATCTAAAAATAAATATCCCCAATACTGGCTTGAACCGTGCAGCAATTCTATCTTTGTTGATAAAAGATCTGTAAAAATTATTTTAAAACATGAATCAAATGAACAAAGAGTTTTAGGAATAATGGGTGTAGTACATCCATCTGTTTTGGAATGCTTTAACATACCGTTTCCATGTTCCTTGTTCGAAATTTCAATCGACGTATTGCTTGAGTTCCTGAAAAAATTTCAAATTCACTTGGTATAAAATAATTTTACCCATGTATTGATTTTTATAGCTGCGCTATAAATAAATATAAACCTTATATGAGTTTTAAGTACATAATATTAATGCATAACTAGTTAGGCTAAATAGGTAATATTAGCACAGATTTAAGTAACAAAAATAACTAATTACAATATTTTATGAACGAGTACAAAAAATAAGTAGAGATATCAAGCAAATTACAGTTTGTCTAGGAAGTGATCAGCTGATGGGAAGGCTTCATTGAGACCTTTTCTCTTACGAATAGCAGTAATTGTCGAGTAGTGAGACGAAGAGGAATCAAATGGGTTACCCGGAAGTAATTCCCAGTGAGAGAATACACATTGTGGGAAGGCCTTACCTTGAGTCTTTTCTCTGAGGTCAGAAGTGAAACCAAAGGATTCAGCTACTGGTAATAAGGCTCTCATTTCGTGTAATGGAGTTCCTGGACGAACTTCGTCTGAGGTAACTATACCTCTTCTTCTGTTGAGAACAGAGTAAACACCGGATATGTTGTCTTCAGGTACGGTAATTTCTACCAAGAAAATAGGTTCAACAAGTCTTGGTTCAGAGTTCAATTGAATACCGAGAATACCACGTCTTGCGGCACTGATTATTTGAGATCCACCTCTGTGAATGGCATCAGCGTGGAGAACACAATCAACAAGGTTGAATCTACATCCTCTCATCTTTTCTTCACAAAGAGCTCCTTCTCTGGTAGCCCATTGGAAACCAGCATTGACATGATCCTTAAGTTCGTGTACGTATTGAAGACCACTAGTTTGATCAACAAAAACGTTAGGGCCAGTTAAATCAGGGCCGAAACACCATATCTTAAGGGTGTGGTTCTTGTCCCAACCGTATTTATCAGAAAGAACTTTGGATCGTTCTTTAACATCATCGTTGTGGCTAACACGACCATCTTCAATGTCGAGTATAAGCTCTTCTTGAAGAGGTTCGGCAGTCATGTAAAGTCTGTTGTGTTTATTCGCAGATTTAGTCATACCAGGATCAATAGGAGTTGAAGTGATAGTTTCCATGTAAGATACAACTGGTTCAGAAACAGTAATATCTATTTGGGCGTATTCTTCTTTGAGATCTTTGAGACAGATTTCGACGTGAAGTTCACCACATCCGGCAATAATGTGTTGACCGTTTTCTTCAGATGAACAAACAACAAGCGGATCAGACTTAGAAAGTTTCTTAAGACCATCTACAAGTTTTGGAAGTTCTTTGCTGTCCTTTGGTGCGACGGCAACTCTTACAACTGGAGATACAGAGTATTTCATGCTGTTGAATGCGTGAGCAGATTCAGAAGTAGTGATAGTTCCTGATTTGAGCAAGAATTGATCAATACCGATAAGAGCACATGTGTTACCGCATGGAACGTCTTGAACTTGTTCTACAAAACGGCCCATCATAATAACAGTTCGTTGAATGCTCTTAACAGCAAGATCTTCTTTGGATCCTGGAGTGTATTTTGGCCCGAGAATTCTTACTTTCTGTCCTGTTGCCACAGTACCAGAGAAGACACGGCCGAAGGCGTAGAATCGTCCTTTATCGGAAGTTGGAACCATTTTAGATATGTACATCATCAATGGACCTTCTGGGTCACAAGCTTTTATGGCTTTGGCAGCTTCGTCGTCTTGAGGACCGCTGTAAAGAACACCACATCTGTATTTCTGAGCAACTACTGGGGATGGCAAATGAGTTACAATCATTTCAAGTAAAGTGTCACCAGCTGGTAACCAAAGTTGCATAATTCTCTTGAGTAAGTGTTTGCCTTGAAGTTCTTTTTCATCAGATTTAAGTTCAACACCCATGCTGACCAACATTTTATCGAGTTTGTCCCGTTGGGCGCTGTTGTCAGAATTGAGAGTAACTTCAAACAAATCGATGATTGGCTTTAATATAAAGAAACAGAAACCTCTAACAAGCTCGGTGTCGTTGGAACTTTTGCTGGTGTACCATTTCTTGGTCTTTACGTTGAAGTAGTTTTCACCCCAAAGTCTCTTCATCATTTTATCAGTTGAAACACCAAATTTTTTGCCGTACATTTTTGCAAATCGTTCGATGGTGAAAGCCCAACCGTGGAGACCGGAACCGAAAGATACAGTTCCCTTATCTGCAGCAACTTGAGCATCAAATCCAATGCTTTCGTCTTGGTAAGTTGAAATGACGACGTTTACGTTTTCGATGTTGTTACGGAAAGTATCGTACATTGCTTCAGGAGACTGTCTAAGTTCGAGCAAACATCGATCGACCTTGTTCATGTGGAGAATAGGGCGTACTCGCTCGGCAAGGCTTTGACGAAGTACAGTCTCGGTTTGTACACAGACTCCTTCAACTGCATCGACTACGACAAGTGAACCATCGGTAACTCTGAGTGCGGCAGTTACTTCAGATGAAAAATCGACGTGACCTGGCGAATCAATAAGGTTGATTAAAAATGGTTCTTTTTCTTTGTCCTCAGAAAGCTGGGTTTCAAAGAAAAGTGAAATACCAGTTGACTTGATGGTAATGCATCTTTCTTGTTCATCGGCTCTGGTATCGGTGAAACGAGCTTCACCAGCATTTTTTGCAGAAATGATACCGGCTTTTGAAACAAGAGAATCCGTCAAAGTTGATTTTCCGTGATCTACATGTGCAATAACAGAGATGTTACGGATATTATGGGGCTTCCCCATAATTTCTCGGAGCTCAGAGACTGTAAAGTTTACCATTTTGCTTCACTAGATTTTATATATAAGTTTGATTTATTATTCGTGAAACTTTAGACAGAACGATTATTTTGATAAACGAAAAAAAAAAAAAGATTAATTTAGCATAAACATTGTATTTAAAAAAAAAATTTTAACGCTTAATACTTGTAAAATCGGGTTCAAGTTTTTGATTGCCGAGAGTAATCCGAAAATCTAGGGTTTTATAAGAGTCCCAGTGTAGCTTAAACAATTGCGGACAACCTAATTTATATATTAACTTTATAATGTTGTTGTTATCTATTTTAATTTTTCGTAAGTCGATTCCATAGTCGTGTTTAAAAGCTTTAACTAACTGAATAAAAGTAATCCCGTTCCAATGGTTTGCACCTTCTGTTACGCTAATCGTTGAATATTTCAATGATTCTAAAAAATGTGTTATAAGTACGCGATGTATTGCTTGAAAAAGTAAAGTAACCGGTTCTCTGACTTGTTTAGAAGGATGCGCCTGAATAATCAAGATAAGACCATTGATGTTACGCGGTTCAGCCATTAACATATTGTTTACAACTGGGTCTTTGCTTCGCTGGTTAGTGATCAAAGATGTGCTATTTATGGGCTGCGCGTTGGATTGGAAATCATTCATGTAATAGTATTGTTTGTTAGCGTTTACGCTATCCAAAGTCGATCCATTGGCTCCCGGGATGTTGGTAGAATAAGAATGTACATCATTCGATTTATCTATGCGTGACGGATGTTCATGAGGGTCAAACGATGTGGCGGTACTTGAGTATGACATGTTTGGTTTTATCGGCGGATTGTAAGTAGTAGTTGAAGGATTCCTGTTTTCGTACGTCCTTGTAGGAGGCGAAATATGCGAGCTAGAGGATATTTGCGGATGATGTTGTTGCATAATGGCTTCGTTTAAAATTCGTTTATTTTGATGAGTAGAAATGTTGGGGTCATTAACGATGTATTCCGGACGAGAATCGAAACTTCGTAAGTGCGGATTGGTAGATTTACCACTGGGCTCACCTGATACTGTATCGAACTGATTACATTCTTCTTTGTTTTTCTGATTGAGCTTGGATTTAAAGAGGTGAGACCCGTCTTCCAACGAGTATGTTGCTGATGAATTTTTGAACTGCATTCCAGGTTTAGCTTTAGAATCATCACCTATATCGTAGCTCGCTGAAGCGCTTTTTATCAAAGTCGCCGTTGAACCGCATTCCAACGGTTCGTGGCTCGATCGTTTGGGAGAAACAAGATACGAGTTGTCGGTTTCATTGGTTGAGTTATTTGTCTTTTCGCTCTTTTGTATAGCTCGAGTGAGAGCGTTTATAAATATTGTGCAACTCATTTTGGAAGCATATTGCGGAAGAATTTTATATACAGCACTTGGATTTACTTGTTCCGGCTTTGTTACGATCTCATTGGTGTTGCAATCTTGTAAGAAAAATACATTTCCCGGAATCGCTAGCAGTGCTCTCGCTACCAAACCTTTTCCCATATCTAAAATAGACTGAAGAAGGGGGGTGCCGTACATTTTTTGATAATGCTGGAGTAAATTGTTTGTTGTCAGCTTGGGAACTGTATGCGCCAAATAATGCAAAGTATAGTAACATTGTACAAGTTTGACAAAAGGTTTGTTAACATTCTTTGGATGTGCTTTTTGATTCCGCTTGTTGCCTCCTTGATGAGAGCTATCAGCTTCTATTATTAATTCATTTACTATATCCTTGACTTTTTGCAATTGATGCGGATTGTTGTAACGAACTAGCAAGTGCAGAGGCTCACTTGTTTTAGCCTCGTTGTTATAATATTGTTTGTCACCGCATAATTGAACGTAACAATCTGATTCTTGCTGAATTCGGTGCAAGTTTACGCTTTTGGGACCAATAATTAAAGAAGGTATTTTGATATATGACGGAATATTAAATTTATCAAGAAATATTTTTGCAGTTTGCGTGAAAACCCTCTGAAATTAAATCCCTTAGGACCAAACTTACATCTTCGTTTGACGTTAGATTACTAGTTTGATGGTTGGCATTATGCATAACGTAAATTATTTACTGTGTCATTCTAGTTCTATGAATGGTACCTAAAAGAGAAACACATCATAAACTAAAATACTTTATCTCTATGAAAGATTATTTTATTTTTCAAGAATTATTTTTTTTATCACTTGGATATTTAAGAAAGTTTTTGACGTTTGTTAATCGTGAAATTTTTTGATGCTCCTTTGTATGTTAATTTGTAAATAAGTTCTTATACATGTTATATTCATGTGAATGGTTTAAATCTTTGCATATATGTCAGATAAATCGGAAATAAGCAAGTCTAAAGTCAAGCTGAATATTTCAGCCACGAATCTTGCTCCAGGCAGTATTCGTAGTATGCAATCCCTTTCAGTGAATGCTCGAGGGGTTATAGATAACTTCATGAATCTCGCGGAAAACAAAGACTCTTTAGGTATTGAAGCGAGAAAGGTTGCTACTTCGGTGAATAGCCGTCAAAACATCAGTCTTTATTACGACATTGAGATGTTGCGACAATCATGTTCCGATGAAAACGACATCTTGCTTGGACCTTTGAGAGTGCTAGAGAAATTTGAGCATTTAACGGGTTGTCGAGACATCAATTACTACAAAGTTAACAAACTAAGAGAACAGCTTCGAACTAGCGCATTCAATGCGTTGAGTAAGCGAAATTACAATGATGCATTACTTTATGCAAATGAATGCTACGAGCTAACAAGAAATTATTTAATCAACATTAAGGGCTGTGGCTTACACTCTGATTTGGTTTTCGAATTGATTATTATTAGTCGATGCTACGCTCTTATTCAAAAAACAGAAAATGGTTCCAGTTATTTAAAATTACTGTGTAATTTAGTTGATTCAACCATTAGATATCTTTTTGAAGAAGTAGTCAAATCTGACGAAAAAGATCCAGATCGCTTGAAAGAAGCCTGGCTTAACTTAAGTAAAGTTGAACCTACAACGTTAGAACCTATCATACTTTCAGAGCCCGCGGTGTTTTTGGGGATATTACGCGAAGTCGCGGAACTAAACGTACTTTACGAGAATTATGACTTAGTCAAGTTGTACTATAAGGACTTAGTGAGTTTTTACGAATATTTATATGGGATTGCGCACCCTTTGACCGCTGATATTTGTAACGAAGCGGCTTATCGGTTCTTCGCTTTGAGAGAATACAATTTAGCAGGTTTTTATGCTGAAAGATGTCTGGCTATTCGAATTCAATGTTTCGGTGACGTCGATGCAGAAGTGCCGAGTGAACTCGTAGCAGACGCTTATTGTAACATTGGGTTAATTTATAGAATTTTGGGTTACGCTCAAGATAGTCTTGCAGCTCTACTTTCAGCATTGGATATCAGAATGCGAATTTCAGATGGAGATCGAACGTCATACTCCTTATTAACTACGCTTCTCAGCGTAGGTATTCTGTGTCATCAATATGGACAATATCGAAGAGCATTAGAAATTTACTCTGAATGTTTTGAAGGATTAAGAAGCCACACAGGATTTCACAGTCCTGAAATTGCTAAAATTCGACAATTAATGGATGTTTTACAACACGATATTAGCTCTGCTATTAATCAAGGACCGATTACATCGGGGTCTGCGTTAGCTGGTTCTCTCACTCCTTATGTTACAGAACCTAGACTAAATTCTAAAACGGGTAATCGCTTCATTAAATGGAATGAATCGATTGCGCCTACACTCAACGTCTACGTAAATTTAGTAAGAGAAAACGCAGAAACTTCGTCCAAATCTTACAGCCACATTTCGACTCCGGGAATAAGTCGTGCTCGATGCTTATTTGCTGACGATTACCAAGGTTTGGAAATCCCCTCCACAATGATGTTACCTTTTGCAAAGAAGTCTTTTGTTTGCTCAGAAATGTTGCAGTTCATGACATACTTGAGATCTTTCGGATATCTGAAAAATGACTTGAAATATATTAACGGTAATAGACGTGTTCCTATTATTAATTTGCCCAAAATCATTGCAGGTTTGCCAATTTTTCAAGACACAAACTGTGAAAAAGTTTGTATGGAACTAAATCCGGGTGTAATTGAATTCTGCGATGAATTTAAAATCCCGGTTCCTAAAGTTGACGAAGATGGGAACGTTTTCGTAATCGATGAATCTGTCGAAGGAGCTCCAGCATATTTGCCAGTTCTGGATCCTAACACTAATAAAGTTTTAGAAGGTATTAACGGTATTCCTATCATGGTTATTTTACCAATTATCTTTGCCACTGAAGGGTGTGCTGAAAAAAATTTTGCTCATTACGACGTAGAAGAAATCAAAAATACGACTAAAAATAAAACATGGACTAACTTTGTTGACGAGAGAAATTCCATTCCACCAGTCATCAAATCATTGTTTGTCGAAGACAGCAATAATACCACTTCTTCCGCTAAATCGTTAGCATCAAATAATCCTTCTCCTAGAACTGGTCAGAAGGATACTACTAGAAAAGATCTTTGCTTTTTACCTAGAAAAAAAATATTAAAAAAATTGGCGGCAGCTTTGGAAACTAACGTAAAGATTGGCACCTCGACTGACATGCCAGCGAAGCAATCTGATCCTGTTAACAAGCCCGATGTATCAAACAAAGTTCAAAATGCATCAGCGGAAAGCAATACAGGTAAAATAGTAACAAATATGCTACGAGACGGGTTACCTAATGATTTATCGAATGAGTTCGATACTTTGGAGTCGAATAAAAATAACATAAACCTACTCGATAAGTTAAAACATAAAGATGTTAAAATATTAGCGACAAAGTCTCTTAGCAAAACGGAATCTGGTAAGAAATCCCTTATAATGAAACGAAAAACTATAGCTTTGAAAGATATAATTACGAAGAGTTTTGAATCTGCTGCTAAAAGAAACGTAGATTCGCAAAAATCTAGTGCTGAAATTCTAAAAAAAAAAACTACTAGCATTTTTGCTCCAAATAACCAGCAAGACGGTTCAAAACCTCTTGCAATGAACTCAGCTAGCACTAGATTAACCAAAAAACCTTTAATGAAAAACGAAAAATCCAGTGCAATTCGGTCAAAACCGTTAATTAAGTCTCCTATTGGCAAGCATTCGTTAAACAGAAAAGCCCACTCGCAAACAGTTGTAGTAAAAAAAATTAATACTCCAAGTCAAAAAAATATTGAACCGCTAATAAAAAGACCTGCTGAAAACCGATTGTTGCCATCTGGTAGTAAAGCAAGTACTGCCGTACCAAAAACAGAATCTGTTCTTATAAAAAAAATGGACGTCGATCGCAATAGTTCAATGAAAACTCCTCAGGTAGTGGGTAAAGAAAAATTATTAAAACCATTAAATAAAGCTGGAGTATCGGTGAAACCAGTAATAAAACTTGCAGCGAAATCAGAGATAGTCAAAAACGAGAATTCGTTACTTATGAAAAATAGATCTCTACCGAGCGGTATAACAAAAGTTTTGGTTAAACCAAATTTAGCTTTATCGAAGCTTGAATACGCGAATGCAAAAAAGATTATTTCTCCTCGTTTGGTAAATTCTAGCAATAGTAAACCTCTTGTCACTACATCTGCAGCTTATTCTATGCTTTTTAAAACTAAACGTTCTCAAGAGATTAAAATAGATCCAGGTTTATCAGGTAATCCTTTGCCCATAAAGAAAAACTTAAAAATTGCAGATACAAAAAAAAAAGTCACTGTGAAGTCATTTGCTGCAAAAATTCCTTCACCAAATCTAGCGAATATAAAAATATCCGAAAATAATCGCCCAATCAAAGCACTAATGAATTATAATCCCGCTGAAAAAGTTTCTAAAGCCGTATTGGTTAATGGTCTGAAGGCGGCTCGTGTTTTGGGGAAAAGATTATTAAAAAAACACTTAAATCCTGCAAATATTACTAGTAACAAAAAACTTATAAATTCGCCGAAACTTTTAGGACCGTCAAAAATAGCAAAGTTAAATAATTTTCTGAAAAAAGGAGCAAGCCATTTGTCAGAACCCATACGATATAGTCAAGATAAATTTGATCATGAAGCGTCTAAAACTGCGCAGTCGCATGAAGTTAAAAAACCAAACTTGAGCATAAGTAAAAGTAAGTATTCGTAAACGACAAAAAGCTTTTTTGTAGCATCAGTCAGTTCTGAAAATGTTGATAATCAAAACCATACTCGAGCCAGTAAACAAGCAAAATATGTATCTGAGCAAGCGTTGCATTCTGAAAACTTTTCAAATTTCATGAAAACTAGCCAAAGGACTGTTAGATATTATTGTAAAATAGCTAAAGAAGAAGACGTGTTAGGGGTAGCAAACACTACTACCATAGCTGAGAGCACTACAGTTCCTGCATTAAACTTAATTTCAAAATCAGGTAGCGTAATCGAGACTATTCCTTTTTTCGTAGATCAAGAAGTTTACTTCCAACGAATAGCTATAATTTGTTCCGAAATTCAAAATAGATTTTTACAGAAGAAAAGTTCAATACCACCAATGAAAAAAGTTGTTCAAGCACTTACAAACAACAAAGAAGAAATAGCTGACATTGGAGAAGGTTTAGCTATGCTTGGAGCGCCGTTTGGGCTCAGTGGAACTGTGTTCGGTTCGCTACCCGCGTCTGGTCCAAAAGGTATTGGAGGTTACGGAGCTGTAGGAGCTAACATTCCAGTCGAGCTTACCGTACCGATAGGTATGCCTGGTAAATTGACGAAAAATATTAATTACATCGATAAAAACAAAATACCAGGATTTTCAGATTTTAGTAGCGCTGTAGACTTTACAACACAGACTGGGCCTGATGCAATTACTAGCAAAAATTTAGACAGTATATTCAAAAAAGGTCTAGGCGAAAAAGATGAAAACGCCGATAATACCCAGACCAACGCTATTACGGCCGATGAGATTCTTACTGCACAAATACCTAACTTCGGAAATTCTGATTCAGATGAAATGGATGATTCAGATGCTTCTGTGGACGAAGAAATTAAAAAAATCATTCAGAGAGGTGGACTCAATTATTTGTCTACACTTGCGCTTCAAGAAGATAAAGCTATATTTAATACGCCGACTGAATATTCAGACTTGATACAAAAATTCTTAGAAATTAAGTCTTCTGTTGCTAAAGAAAAGAATCGTAAATCTCAAAGAGTTGCTACTGGAGTAGGAGGCCTCGCTGGCTATGAAGATATGGATGAGTCGAGCGATGGATTGGAAAAAGGCGCCGCCGACTTAGCGGTTAAAAAAGATGTTACAGCCACTAAGAAAGCTGAAACGCCAAAGAAAGCATTTGCCAAAAAAACTTTCGCAGGAAAATTAGGCATTAAGAAAGCTCCGCCGCCACCACCTGTGAAAAAAGCCGGTAACAAAGAACTTGTGATCAACAAATCTAAGTTTCGTAAAATTGCTTGGGATCCAGTTGAAGATCCGTCTGGTACAATCTTTTGCACTGATTTCGCTGATTATTTGAGGAATTTGAATTTGGGAGAGTTGGAGGAATATTTCGGTAAAAAATCTATGAAAACAGATCTTGTGAACGAAAAACCTACAGAAGTCAAATCTATCAGTTTGTTAACTGATAGAAAGCGTAGTCAGAAAATTACCATTATTCTTTCAGGGTTCAACAATTATACTTTTGCAGAACTGAGAGATATAATTATGAATCTGGATGATGACAAATTGTCTTTAGAAGAAGCTGAAAAACTTGTCAATATCGCACCAACTCCGGAAGAAACAGCGCTTATAACGGACTATATTAGAGCTGGAAAAGATGTGACTAAACTAGAAAAGCCTGAGCAGTTTATCGCAAGTTTGTCTACGGTACGAAAAATAAAACCTCGGCTGGAGGCTTTTGTTTTCATCAAAACATTTCGACAAAACGTCATGGATATCAATATCATGCTTACTACTTTCTCAGATGCTTGCATGGTAATTCAAAGTTCTAAACGCCTCAAGAAACTTATCGCAGCAATATTGAAGATAGGTAATATTTTAAATCAATCTAATGCGCTAGGATTCAAGATAAATATTTTATCTAAACTTGAAGATTTCAAAACTACTACCAAGCCTGTACGTACATTTGTCCAATATCTAGTAGATATTTTTTACGACAGAGACAGAGATACCTTGGAACTCATGGGGGAGTTCTCTTCGCTACAGCAGTTAAAACATTTTGAGATGAATAATGTTGAAGGTCTGATCACTCAAGCCAAATCAGAGTTTGAAAAATATCACGATTTATTAAACACTATAATTAAAGAAAACGAGAGCCAAGCCGTTCCAGATCCTCTTGAAAATATTTTACGAAGATTTTACGCACTGAACGAGCGAGCAATTAATGATCTAGAAGCACTGCTGTATAACACTAAAGAGAACTATTATAATACAGTAAAAATGTTTGGTGAAACTGATAAAACAATCGCACAAATTAAACCTAGTGTTTTCCTGAATGAATTTTTAAGTTTTGTGAAGGTTATCGATGCGCGTTATAGAGAAAAAGAAAAAAATATGTTAAAAGCTGCTAAACGAGCTAAAGTGCAGCCAAATCAAAAGATAATTGCTACGTAGTAATTAACATATGAATCTGTTGCTAATAAGTTTGCCTACCTTGTTTTTCATTACACTCTTCCATGGCTAAAGAAATGTTACAAGTCTTGAAACAATTTATTATATTTTGGTTTAAAACACCGTGAGCATTGAGGTTTTCATATAATGCATTTGACAGTTGTTTGTTCGTTAGATTAGTTGTCTTGTTAGTTTTGAAAAGGGTACGGCTGAAAATGTTGTTATTCTCCACTTGCACATTATTTATCATCGATAAATACTGATGTACGTGAAACTCAATAAGTTCTATGAATTTCTCAGGTTTTTCAATCTGCAAAAGTAAATTTACAATATGTAAATGTTTCTTTGCGTCTGCATACTTATTTTTTAAAAAGTCAATGGGTAAGTCGTTGTACCTTGGAAGCAAATTAAATATAATAAACGTAGTCCATAATTTATCATCTTTATCTATGATTTTATAAACGGTCAAAATGATCGTTTGGTAAATTTCGTTTTTTTCTGGCGTTGGTTCTAAAGAGATATTCAACAAAATATTGTTCAAAATCATAAATAAAAGACATTGGCACCCTGTAAATGTTTTAGGCATGATGAGTAAATAGTTGCAGATGTTGGATGTCCAGTGTAAATCAGAAATCTTACCATACAATTGCATATGAAGCTTGTGCATAAAAAGAATGCAAATCAAAGCTGAAAACTCGCCAATTTCGTCGATCGTGGTTGAATCAATAAAAAACGTGTTCAACTTGTTGTAAACTACGGCTAAAGTTTCTTTTTTAGTTGCTTCGGCGTCGATCATCTTGTAGTATCTCAAAAATACATTTGAAACATTCTCTGGTAAAACACTTTCGTCGATGGACAATCTGATTACAGTCTGAATGCTAAGCTTAAGTGGTTCGTTTAAAATCTTTTTTGGGTTGTTCACCAACGTTTCATATTTGAATGCATTGTTGTTGTGGTTCAAATTGGAGAATTTATTCTTGAAAAATATAAATATTTCAATGATGAAATAAGGAATGTCTTCTACAAAAAGCTCTTGCTGGGACGATAAAGTGTGAAATATAATAGAGATGCAAAAGAAGTAATCTGAACTGAACTTGGCGAGAAATGGAGATAGCAGCGACAAATTTTTCATTTTCAGTGCAAATAAGAGGGCGTAGCGAACAACGGCTATATCTGTCTGCAGGCTGAACTTAGAATACAAGCAGTGCTGCGCTTTGACAGAAGAATCGATGTTTTGAATATATAGTTGTATCTGTTCGTCATTATGGCTTATTGAAGAGTCATATTTTTTAATGTTGTAAAACAAATTATTGATCATTTGAACGAACTGGTCTTCAAAGTTGTCCAGTTGCTTGTTTTTTTCCATTAGGCGCAAATACATCGGGTACGCAGACATTGCGATATTCGACACGTGGCTTGAGCAAAATAAAACCAGACTGTCTATCAAAATGTTTGCCAGTAAATCCGTCTGATTATCATCAGTAGTGTATATAGTGAATTTGCTGTAATTGCTATCATGATTTTCAAATAGGTCGACAGTGCGATAATAAAGGTATTTCTTTGAACTCTGGTCGACGTTTGTGAAGTTTTTCTTGCTAATGGAAGTTATTGTAAATATTAATGTGCAAAGTCTGACGCAAAAACTAGAGTTTATCGAAATTGCATGACACAGATAGTAAAGCAACACCGAAATCGGCCGAGAAACTTCATTGAATCGCGTTTTAATAAACACTTGCAACAGTTCGTAACATTCATGTAGACACGGAGTGAAATGCTTAGCATAGACTGGCGTTATTTCCATTTTGTGAGCGCTTTGCGATTGTTTATCCCTGAAACCAAAATTTTGAAAATCATTCAGATGAGGCACAATAATGAAAAATAGCAACAAATTTGAAATAAAATCGTTACTTGTGCTCGCGTTCAAAGTATATCTTTCCAAAACTTCCAAATAAGTATTTAAGTTTCTGTTTTTCAGAAAAGTTTTTTGTATTAACAATAATGCAAGATCATCGTCACTTGGATAATAAATGTGTAATGTGTCATTCTTGCTATAAGAATCGATCAAATCTATTATTTTTTCTATTAAATATTCGTCCATGCTTGCTTCGTCTAAACGAATGTTGGTATGAAGGCATAAAATGCCAATTTCGTGCTCAATTATGCTATTTCTAGGTATAAGCGAGAATAAAACTTCTTTTAACAAGTCAGCTGATTTGTCGATTTCACCTTCTATTTTACTGTTGAGCATAAATGCAATAGATTTAAGACGTACGTCTAAATAAGAGGCTAGCGATTCTTCTCTGATTTTATTTAAAACATCCAAATGAGAAGTTGAAAAGTGGTCTTGCTTCCAAATCTCACTGACTAATTTGCTTAAAGATCGATTGTTTAAAGTCATTCCTCTGTGAAGCATAATTCTGATCAGAACGTACTTATCAAGGGCTTCAATCGGGAGCTGGTCGAAATCATTCAAGAAAAGCGCTATTGAGACGAAAAAATCGCTTTTAACAAATGCAGGAATTAAGAGTATAGTCTTGGTCATTTCCATCAAAGATAAAACTGTATTTGAACTTAAATTAGGTTCGTTTTTGAAAATCCAAATTGAATGGAACTTAGTTAAGTCTAACGTTTTTGAGTAGTTCAAACAAATCAATGAAATTAACGTCTTAAAAAGTTCTAAAGCTATTATTTTTGTATTTCCCGTGCTGTAGTAGACATTGTTGTTGTATTCACATAAGTCGAAAACGTGATTGTTATACGTGGTTAGAAGACTTGGAGAGTAATTTATTTTATATTTATTGTTCAATAAATCAAGGAATAGTCCTGTTTCTGTGGATAAATTCTGTTGTTGGTAATCACAGTAAATGTTTTCATTTTGATCGGGTGATAAAGAGTTAGTCACAAGCAAAAGAGTATGCACTTCTTTAAGAAAGATCGTAAATTCTTTGGAGTTAAAAAAGTCTTGGAACAAAGTGTTAGACCAGTTTTTAAGATCTGCGAGTGTGGTCATTATTAAAGCTAGTGCGATTGGTTCAGTAGCCTTGACTAAATTAATTATATGAAACAAAATAGTAGAATCCAAAGCACTCGAATAAATGAGAATCCAGAAATGAAAATAAGAAACGTTGTGCTTGTGAGTAAGCGAATTTTTTAATAGTGTCAACAATATCGGACTTAACACAGTGCATAAGAAGTATTTCATGTCAGGCGAAATCGAGCTTTTAGTTATTAGTACGTTTTCGGCAAAAGTATTGGTTATATCAGAACATTCAGTAGCTAGCAGTTTTTTAGTCTGACAATCTGATTTTTGTTTGAATAACATTATAAATAACAGGTTTGTGAACTTGAAACAGAATATTTGGCCAGCAAACAACTTCTGCATATATACTTTAGAAGTCCCGTTTATCATGACTAAAAGTTGTTTATTAATTGACTTGAGTATCCCATTCAACACATCGATGTTTTCATTATTTATTTTGTGTTCGGCATTTCCACTACTATGAATTAGGTAAAATACTGATATGTATTTTAAAAATATCATCGAAATTTGATCATTGTTAGTGAGTAAAACTTTATAAACATCGCTTATAAAAGTATCAAACTGAAAGTTTTTTGAAACGATGGCGAAAAATTCAGAAAGCCGGAAAAAAGTGACTTCGAAACCGTGAGATTCAATGTTTTTATAGCTACTTGATGTTTTCAAAATATCTAATACTTTATTTTTTTCGAAATAGACTCTTGTTAGGACATACTTTTCGTTTAGCAACTTGCAAAACAACTCGTTAAGTATGTCCATGGCGAATTTTTTGAATTCTTCGTTTTCCACACATGAAAAAATGAAAAACATTGCCGGTAAAAGCTCGCAGTAATAAAAATAGCTTTGAGTAGTCTCACAATAACTCAAAATAGAATCTTTATATTGCATATATAATTCAATACATTTCCACAACATAATTTCTGAAAATTGCTTGTTGATGATGTAACCGATGAAATGAACTATAACAGGCAATAAGTCCTGAACTGATTTTACAGGAAAGATAAAATGCAAAGATTTTAAAAGAATGATTAATTCGTTTAGGACATGAACTCCTGTTTTTTTGTAAACGGTATTGTCAGAGAGTAATATTAATATTACCTCGATGACTATGTCAAAATCTGCTGTTGTCAAGTTTGGTAACAACTCAAGCCTATCCTTGTAGTATTTTAAAGAGTCGGTCGATTTGGTTAATATTTTATCATTCTGCTGCGCGAGAATGTTATAAAATCTGTTAATAGTGGTGTGAAATACCTCTTCTTTGTTTGTGTCAATTTTAAAGGATTCATGATTGCAATCCAAAACTTTTGGTGTCTGAACTTTAACTGGTTCAGTACTGACATCGCATGTCTCCGGTGTCCCTTCATTTGGACAAATAGTTTGTGGAAATGTTAGAGCAGCTGAAGTTTCTATTGCAGGAAAATCGTTTAATTTGATTTCAGGTACTTTTTCATCTTCGTCAAACGTAGCTGCAGAAACTATTTTAGATATTATTACTTGTGCTTACCTATATGAATATTAGTATTAATTTCATCAACATTGAAAACCAAATCTTCAGTGTCATCCATATCAGATACGGCGTTTAATTGAAGAGTATCATTAAGCGTAAACTCCATAAATACATCAATATGTTCAAGTACGAGATCGAAAAATAAATGTATTTAATCACTAGATTAAAAATGAAAATGCTGAACGCTGTTATTTTTGATATAAATAAGCCTGCAACGAATATTTTGGAAACAATATCAGAAATCGTATTAAAAATATAATATTCAAAAAAGAATTAAAAAATGAACTGCAGGGACAGGAAAAGGCTTTGTTAGGCTGAAATTACGCTTATAAATTCTTTGTTCCATTATGTCATCGCAAGAGTTTGACGCAATGAATTTACCATAAAAATTTTTCTTATTAAAAAAATCTAGAGACGTAGCACAGAATGTGTGCTGAAAAGAAAGAAATAAATTCTTTA